TATTCTGATATTATAATATTTATTATAATTATTGTGATTATTGAAAAAGAAATTAAAATATATTATCAATAAGTTTTACTCTCACTTTGATGTTAATTATGGTTTTATGAGACTTCATAGACAGTCAAGTGAGAGGTTTTTACGATAACAAAAAAGCACTTCAATAAAAAACTCGTTATAGAGATATAGTTATCAAAGTTTGAATGCATACATAGTTGTGCAATACCATGATTATTTCAAGTGTCACCATTAATTGATTAGCTTATTGATTGGCAAAAGAGTTTCTTTATTGTTATTCAAATGTAATTAACAAATATGAAACAAAATACAATTTAATTGATTAAATAATATAGCATTTGCTATAATAATCACTTTAATAACTAATAGAATAAAATTCAGGCAAATAAAAATGAGAATCAAATTAAAACAAATAGTTATTGCAAATAAATAATGATTAGTTTTGTTTGCATAATAAACTACATGTCATTCAACCTCTAATCTCGATTACAAAAGAGACATATCATGTAATTATAACTTAATTTCTACGTAAGGGCTCATTGCGGGCCTGCGGTCTAATCAAGGGAAAGCCTCCCTCACCACCGACTGATCCCTCACCGCCTCTACCATTAAATCTGCCCAAAAACCTGTCGATAAGACCACCGAAAGCGCGGCGAATGAATCCTAAGATACCGTTTCCGCTCTGATTGCCTCCGTCTCCGCTACCGCCGTCTCCTCCGCCGCCGAATATTCCTCCACCGCCTCCGCGACCACCAAATATTCCGCCGCCGTCTCCGCCCGACTGACTATCTTTGTCGCCAAAGCCGAGCATATCTTTGAAAAAGTTGACGATCCGATTGAGAAGACCCTCCGATTGGGAGCCCCGACGCCGGCCGGGCGTATACGAGGGCCTATTGTTGTCGGGATTATAGCCGGGACTTTCCGGTATTTCGTTTTCATTGGGAATGTCTAACTGACGGTCAGACGAATCCACTTCTATCTGTCGACCCCTAACTGCCGCACAATTGACTGTTTTCACAAATAAAAGCACAAAATTAATTTACACATTTCAATATAAATCTGATTATTGTGTTTCATTGTATTTGTGATAAAATAATTTAATTTTACGCTGAATTGAATATTTTTTTATCACGTTATAAATCTTGAATAAATGTAATATTCACACTTACTTGTGCTTAAATTCAGTATATAAGCTAAAAGTAATCCAATAACAAGTATTTTAAACATGTTTAATATATGCAAATGTATTTAGTATTTCACAGCAAAAAATAAATTTTCATTAATATTTCGGAGTTGACTGAAAGAGAAAATTCTGTTGAGTCCAAAATTTATATGAAATTTTTATTTTTTATTTAAATGCCATAATTTATTATTACATTTGCATTATAATTATATTAACATAATTAATGATATATTTGTGCTGTGCATTTGCACTATTGAATATGTTATTCACAATTTATGATTGTTATTGTGATTTGTTTGCCTTTTTCTTAGATTTATTATTCAATTCTCGACTTTTCAGTCGTTTAGACAATCGTTTTGGTATTAAAAGAGAGGAAATAATTGTTTCGTCGAAAATCGCGTTAATTAGTGACTGAAGTACTTAAAATTCAATTACCATTTAGCACCTTCAAACTATCAAGGTTACTTGTTAATTGTTCCTGCTAACCCACAAGCTAAATTAGAAGTTATTTGTTAGTGCAATTGTAGTCTACTGTCCCAATATATATGTTTTTGTTGTTTCATTTTAATAACTATTATATAAATTTAATAATAAAGTTTTATTGAAAATTATAGGATTAGCGATATACAAAAATAACTCGATTACATTGTTTATAATTTTATTTGAAATATAACAATATGCTGCAATTGTATTTGTAAACAATAAATTATACGATATTTATAATTAATTAAATGCAAGCCTTTATCAAAAGCTTTGCGATTTTTAAAGTTAAAAGTGGTAATCAATTTGTAACGTGCTTTGGATCTAATGATAGATAGTTCACAAATAATTAATTTATAGAAAAGTTTTTGTAATTAAGCATTTTTATAAGAAATCATATTTATAAAAATATCCGCATACGATTAGAATGTGTTTGTAAGGCTATATAACCTTGGTCATCAATTCAGATTTTTCACAATTTTCTATGTAATAAATAATTTTGATTATCAATATTTTGTGGGATTCAAAAATCAATACTCTATTTGATGAATGATTGATATTTCAATGTCATTTGCTATAATGTTTATATTAAACAATTTTCACAAATTAAAAACACTTAAATATTGAAAACTATTTAAATTCAAGTCTTGCGTTATATATAATAATTTCTAAAACTTAAAACACATCTTAAATTTATATTTTACAAAATAATAATGACTTCGGAATCGCTGTCCGATAATGAGATAGAATTAGTGAAAAATAGTTGGGATGTCGTTAAAAAAGATGGCAAACACTTCGGTAATCAGCTATTTATAGAGTGAGTATACATTGTAACCAATTATATTCATTTTGTGATCATTTATTAATAATAAATTATTAGTTTTAAAACAATTTACCAAATATATTATAATTATTAATGAATTATTATAAGAATAACTAAAATTATAGTAAGTTTTACGACAAATAAAATGCATGTCATTTGCAAATTCACATTCAAATTAATAGCAATAAAATTAAATCAAAGCCACCGGTAGTGAAGTTTAAATAAGAAAAATTAAATTTCAAAGTGAAGGTTAAGAAATGAAACGCGTGTTATGTTTATTCAATGTAATGCAAACATAATTCCTACCCTCACAACAGTCCCTAAAACAATAAATGTCATTTTCAAATAAATATCTAACATATTATTATAACTACATTATGGGATGAAATACGGGATTAGTTTCTTCACGAAACATCCGACATATCAGCAAAATTTTAAATCATTGGCAAACATCCCATTAAGCGAATTGGGCTCAAGTAAACGCCTGTTAGCGCACACCACAGGTGTTATGTACGCTTTGACATCACTGGTCGACAATCTGGACGACACCGAAGTGGTGGTCGAAATGTTGGCCAAAACCGGTGACAATCATCGCCGCCGTCGGCTCGACGTCCGCGCGTTTGACGAGTTGGGAGTCGTCTTCATTGACCTCTTGAGGACCGCATTAGGCGCTAATGTATTGGACGGACAGCTATTGAACGCCTGGAGTAAAACCTATTCCCTTATTGTCGCACACATTAAGACCGCATTTCAATGATTTTTTTGTGGAGAAGTGTGAGAAAAATAGAAATAAATGTTTATTTTTCTTGCAATGTTTGCCTCTTTATTGAAATTCTTGTGATTTTTATGTTAAAAATTTGTCGAAATTTCTTTCTTTGAAATTCAATTATGAATGAAAAATATTTTTGCAAAAACTTGTCAAATATTTGTATAGTTTTTTGTACAGAAAATTAAATTAAAAAGTTTGGACAACTTTTTTTACGGCAGTAAATTATATGTTAAACTATTGCACACCTATTGTTAATATACAGGTGTAGTGGTGTAGAGATAGGAGTCGGAGTGAGAATAAGATTTATTATTATAACAAAAATGAAAAAATGATTATTTCTTTCGACATAAAGTCTATTTCAAGTGTATGTGAAGTGAAAACGAAATCTTTGCGAAAACAGCAAAAATGCATTAAACATACAAAACTATTTTCAGCATTTCTAATATTTATAATAAAATTAAAACAAAGTACCATATTCAGTGATTAACTAGCTAAATGTATTTATAGCACCAGCAAATATATACCCAATATATTCCGAGTAAGTCATAAATAATTACAATTTATTTGCAATATTTTATTGATGCTTTCATAGGGGGGAAAAAGTTTAGGGGCTTTTAATACACTGTATGTATGCGTGCGAAAAGTTTTGGCCAAAAACCAGTTGTCATAAAAAAAATGTTGGGATGACTTGAGAGAGGGGTCTCTCTCTCCCGTTCTCTCTCTCCATAGCATTAGAATGGGTGTAAAATACGGCACACTTTGTATCCTACAGTACAACCAGTTTATGCCTATAATAATAGTACAGTAATACCAGTGTATGCGGTGTTTGTTGCTCTCAAAGTGTATGTATTTCTCACGTTTTATAACCACAGATACAGCCAATAGAAAGCTCTGCACAACGCTTACAGTCAATACTCGCTATACATTACATTTTAATTTAATTACAATTAAATAAAATAATTACCATAACGTCAACTGTAAACAAACACGACCATCATGCTTAATTAATCAACGATTATATCGCATAAAATAGACCACAAAATACATTGACAATGAATAGCGTATACTATAGGGAGGGTTGAAGTGAGTGTATAGTAATGTTTTGCAGCCATTTATTGTATGGAGTGTTGAGTTAATGACTCTTTGTATGAATGCATTGAATTGTATGCAAAGACTCACAGAAACAACACTACGAGTAGTGGTGAACGCATTGCACAGCACTTCAAGACAATAACATACCATCGCATCCACAGTGAAGACACACCGCAACACATGGACACCACATATGACACACGCGCGATGGCATTGTCTCATCGGATCCGTTGACAATAGCCACCGATTGCGAGATGTCTGGAGCCGAGCGAACGATTGGTTTTGTTTTGATTACCATTTTATTGGTTTGGAGACAATCGGCGGCCAAAGC